CAGCCTAGACGTACAGGACGCGGGAAGGAACACAGAGGTGCCAGCGCGGCTGCTGATGTGGCAGATAAGCTTGCCAATTTGGACATTGAAGGTTTGATGCGCGGGTTGGGGAGAGGGGCAGGAGCAGCAGATAGGCGGGCAGCAGCAAGCGAGGCTGCAGCTGCCGAGAGAAAGGCCGCGCCACTTCGGGCAGCCAAGTGCGGCATGGAGGGCAGTGGGGATTCGGTGAGTGCTTTGCAACATTCCAGGTCAGCCGGTGTTGTTTCCAGCTCAGCATCCGCAGGCTCCAGGTCAGCCATAGGTGGCCGTCATGGGTCTGAGATGGCATGTGAGGAGAGGAGGAGAGCGAGCAGGGAAGCACCCAGGGATGCCAGCCGGAGGGTGGAGGAATGGCTCAGACTGGTGGACGGTGGGAGAGCAAGAAGCAGCGAGGAAACAACGGATGGCGTGAATGGGAAGGTGCCGCCTATGGCAGGGGCGTCGACGGGCAGCACGGTGCTGCAGCCGTTGCCCCCCACAGCTGCACTGCATCGTGGCCACGTGCTGCGCTGCTCGTCCGTGCCACGAGCAGGAGTGCCGATGCCAGCACGAGCTGCAAGAGCCGCGGGCGACGGCGCTTGGCATGTGGGGCAGTGCCGAGTGCTGCAGACAAGGTGGAGGCGTGGGTGCATGGCCACGGTGGTGCTGCTGCAGTGCAACCTGCTCTCACATGCTGACTGGTGACTCACATGCTGACTGGTGACTCACATGCTGACTGGTGACTCACATGCTGACTGGTGACTCACCGACAACTGATCACTGACTTGCTGACTGCTAACTGCTGTGCTACCTGATTCACTGGCATGGCGCATTGGCTAACTGGACACATGCGCAGTGACTACCACATAGCATAGGAACCGTTCTAGTGTCTGTCTGTAGGCTGACTCCTTGCTCATAGCTGACACGCCCCGCTTTCAAACAGTCCTGCTCTTAAATGAAGAACTAGATGTCTGGCCTGTGTTTTAATTGGTGTTCAAGTTTACTATTAGCTACCTGTATGTAGATGGATTGGTAACTGTACTTCACAAATCTACAAGCAATTCAAGCAGATAGAACTGGATTAGGACCTGACTAGCACATGGCGTGCCCAGGTGAACGGGTATGTATTGTTACGAATAATACCAGCCTAGTACCGGTACAGCTGGAACCATGCTATCACTGCCGGGACAGGGACGGTTGGCATATGCCCGCCTCACATGTGGATGGGCTTGCCATGCGTGGCGAGCGCCGCCTCCTTGACCGCCTCACTGAGAGTGGGGTGGCCGTGGCATGTGCGGGCGATGTCCTCGCTGCTGGCGCCGTACTCCATGGCGAGCACGCACTCCATGATCAGCTCGCCCGCACTCGGCCCCATGATGTGCACGCCCACCACCTTGTCCGTCGCCGCCTCCGCGATGATCTTCACCAGCCCCTCCGCATCCCCGATGGTGCGCGCACGGCTGTTCGCCATGAAGGGGAATTTACCCACGCGGTACTCCACACCCGACTCCTTCACCTCCTCCTCCGTCTTGCCCACCATGGCCACCTCAGGGTGCGTGTAAATAATCCCGGTACCGTGCCGTAGTTGACGTGCCCGTGCTTGCCCGCCAGGTTCTCCACGCACGCGATGCCGTCCTCCTCCGCCTTGTGCGCCAGCATGGGCCCCGGGATGGCGTCCCCGATGGCAAACACGCTCGGCACGGACGACCGGAACTTGTCGTCCACCACAATGCGCCCCGCCGTGTCCTTCTTTACGCCCGCCTCCTCCAGCCCCAGCCCCTCCGTGTACGGCACGCGCCCCGTCGCCACCAGCACCACGTCCGCGTCCAGCTTGGTGCGCTCGCCGCCCTTGGCGGGCTCCACCTCCAGCACCACGCCGCTGCCCGAGGCGTCGGCGGAGACGACCTTGGTGGAGAGCATGAACTTGAAGCCCTGCTTCTGCAGGGTGCGCTGGAACGCCCTGCGCACCTCGTTGTCCATGTACCCGCCGATGCCGTCCATGAACTCCACCACCGTCACCTGCGCGCCCAGCCGCCCCCACACCGACCCCAGCTCCAGCCCGATCACCCCGCCGCCCACCACCACGAGCTTCTTGGGCACGGCGTCCAGGTTCAGCGCACCCGTGGATGACACAATCTTCTTCTCGTCGATCTGCAGCCCCGGCAGCGGCCGCACGTCCGACCCCGTGGCGATAATGATGTTCCGCGCGCCGATGGTCTTGGTCTCCCCCGGCGAGTCGAGCAGGTCAACGGCCACCTCGTGCGGCCCACCACCTTCCCATGGCCCTTCACATAGGTGACCTTGTTCTTCTTGAACAGCCCCTCGATACCCTTGGTCAGCCCCGCCACGGCCGCGCTCTCCTGCGCCATCATGGCCGGCAGGTCCACCTCCACCCCCGGCCACCTTGATGCCGTGCGCCGCGAACGAGTGCTTCGCCTCGTGGTACATGTGAGACGACTCCAAGAGGGCCTGGGAGGGGGGAGGTGAAGTGGGAGGGGGCGGGGAGATGGGGAGAGGGAGATGGGGAGAGGGAGTGAAGAGGTGCATGAGGAGGACAGGAGGGAGTGCCTCCCCTCGTGGTGCATGTGCGACGACTCGAGGAGTGCCTTGGGGGACAGCCGTAGGAACTTGGGGTGGGGAGCCGGGGGGGAGGGGGGAGAGAGTTGAACGATGAAGTCCGCTTGTCGATTTCCGAGGGATGGCAGAGGAGGGGTTGTTTAGTCAGGCGTATGGGGTGCTTTCGGTGCATGCGGTGCATATCAGATTGCTTCGATTCCGCTGAAGAGAGAGACGGTGCATGGAGGTACGGGGAGCAACGGCGTCGCGCTGGAATCACGTTCTGCCGCGGTCTGCATTGCGGCGCATCGACATCCGCGTTATGAATTCAGTTCCTTCTGAATGATCCCCTCAATGTCAAAATCCACGTTCGTTTGACCTAGTTGTCAACGCCGGACCCTGTACGCACCCCTCCTAAGCTTTTATTTTCCTTGGTCCCCCACGCACCTTGGACGGAATGCCATCCCACGTTGAGGCACGTGCCGCCGAGCGCCGCGCCGCGCTTCTCGACGCACGTGACCTTCATGCCGAGCTGCGCCGCTTTGATAGCCGCCACGTACCCGCCCGGCCCGCCGCCGATCACCCACCCACGTCGTTCTCCTCGGGCTCGTCGCGAACCACCCGCACGCCGCCGAACGCGCCGGCAGGGCTTCCCGTGGGCGCATAGGCAGGTAGCGCGGAGTCCGCGACAGCGCAGAGTCGTCTCCGGGACACCGCGGCTGAGAATCCGGGAGGCCATGGAGGGCGGATTTGCCGGCGGTAGATGTCGGGGTCGGAAGATGGCGTGGAGGATGTGCGTGGGTGTGAGTGAGCCTCCTGGGATCTCAGGGCAACTCCGCGATGTCGAAAGAACGACGACTCGGTGGAAGACGCGAGACGATTGAGACGATCCCCAAGAATCTTCCTCCCCGAAGCGAGGAAGCAGCGTTGGAGCTAGCTGGTCTGCGGAGCAGCTCCTACAACGCTAGCTGCTAGCGTAATGGAGATCTCCGAGGCGACGTAGGGAATGTGGCAATCAGGGGAGGCAGGAAGCGGATTTGAATTGGAGCCACCAGCAAGCAACCGCTGCCAGGCGGATAGTTGCGATGGAGGGGCGGGGAGGCGGGGGAACGAAAGTGACCGCAGCTGGGCGTTTGGGGGAGCGGCATCGGGATCTCCGCAAGCACAGCTGTGCTGGCGGAGGTGCATTTCCCCAGGAGGCCTGCTTGCGTGGCATGGCGGGGTGCCACATCACCCTGCGAATTGCGTGACACACGAGCCAACCAGCCGGCGCTCTTCCCCCAGCTGTGCTCGCCTCCGCCTATGCTTTCCGCCCACATTCCACCAGTTCATGCACGAAACATTTGGGGGGATGCATCCAGCAGTAGAATCGTATCATATGGGAAGCTTCGATATTGCACAGTGCCACCGAATACGAATCTTACACCTAGGTGCATTGAAACGTATAGAGAAGTGTTTTAGCATCTCCGATGTTTGAATTTGAAAGAGTGCCAATGTCGCGTACATATTGTTCGAAGTTGCTTTGCGTTCGCAGCCTGCTCTGCCCAGGTGTCACGCATAATCGCCCCTCATTGCACATGCACGCCAACCTAGTAGGTGCCCTGCTACCTAGCCCATCATAGGCGCCTCAATCAATAAGGTTGCCCTTGTCACCCTAGTCGCCATTTCCCTTAACGTCTCCCAGGAAAGCCTGCTTCGTTATGATACCCGCTTCCACGGCGTGCCGAAATGGCATTCATACCTGCTCCTGCTGTTTTGTCCATCGCTGTCGCTCAGCCCCTGTCAGATCCGCGACGAAGTCTGCTCTTCGCTTCGCGTGTGGCTTATGTCAGCCGCCATCCGCGCCGCCCTCCATGCAGCGCTGCTTTCCGCCTGCCGTGCGTTGCTCGCGCCCGGCACCTTCAGATTCACGGGCTCCTCGTCCGCGCTATTGACAGGAACTCGCTGTCAGTTCCTGCGCGGCATCTCCCATCTGCAATCCCCCAAACCTTTTCTTTCAGACGCCAGCGGAACGCGCTAAGCAACCTAACAGTACCCAGGGCCCAAGCCGCGGGGTCGCGAGGATCAACCCAGCGTCCCCTCTCACCCGGCCGTTCTCTCGTCGGACGCTAGTAGCGCCCATGGCGGGCATGCGACCCGCGGCGGGCGCGGAGCGCGATGTGCAGGAGCGGAGGCGCTGCCGGGGCTGCGGCGCACGGTCTGGGGGCAGTTAGACCTCAGGCCGCGCTTCCCCAAGCTGGAGTCGCACGTGCACGCTGACGTGGCAGTGATCGGGGGCGGGATGGCGGGCTGAGCATCGCGTACCACCTGCAGCGGAAGGGGCAGTCCGTGGCGCTGCTGGAGCGCCGATGCATCGGTCAGGGCCATGGCCTGCTGGAATGATCCCTCCTTTCCCCCTCCCCGTACCACTGCCGCCGTCCCCAGCTAGTACCTCCACATCCTGCCCCATTTCGCCTCATTGGCCCCTGTTGCTCCCCCTTTGGTTCGCGCCTGCTTGCGTTGCGGTGCGGGTGTGCAGGGGTCGGGGCAGACGGGGGCGGACGACGGCCGCACATCATGGCGTGGAACGAACGACTACTACATGCACCTCGAGAAGAGCTTCGGCGAGACAAGACGTTCCTCGTGGGCGAGTCGCACCGCCAGGCCATCGACTCCATCGAGGACACGGTGGCAGCGCGAGGGCATTGAGTGCAAGTTCACGCGCCTCGATGGGTACCTGTTCCCGCACGACTCCAAGCAGTCCACAATGGGAAATGCTCCACATGGTAACCACCATGTTACTGCTGCTGTTGTTTTCTATAGCACTGGCCTTGCGTCCTCCTTTCCCCTTCCCCCCACATCCATTCTCTCTTCCTCCTCCCAATCCCTCACTCGCTCTTCCCAATACCTTTCCTCCCATTCCACTCCCCCCACCACTCCTCTCCCTTTACGCTCTCCCAGGAGTATGAGGCGAGCAAGAGGGCGGGCTTTAAACGACGTGCACATGGTGGACCGCAAGGGCGACCCCTTCTACGGCTCCATGGGCAGGGCCCTGTGCTTCCCCTCGTCCGCCCGAGTTCCACCCGCTCATGTGAGCAAAGCACGTGCGTGCCAGCATGAGCCTCTCGCCATTGTGCGCTCTCTGCTCTCTTCCCTCGTGCCGATTCATCAGGAGTTCCCTCACCTCACCTCACCTCACCTCACCTCACCTCACCTCACCACTGTACTCATCCGGCGCTCCTCCCGCCCCAGGTACCTGAAACGGGCTAGCGGACGCCTTTGTGCGGCTGGGCGGGCGGCATCTTCGAGCAGACCATCGCCTTCCGCGAGCACGGCTCCGTCACGGGCTCAGGGGCCGGATCAGTGGTATCGACAAAAGACGGGCGCGGCGTGGTGCATGCGGGGGCGGTGGTGCTGGCCACCAACTCGCCCATCAACCACAACCTGCTTGTGCACGCGCGCCAGCCCGCTGACAGGAGCTACGTGGTGGGGCTCAAACTCGACAAGGGCAGTGTCAAGTGCGTGCCTGATGTTTTGGGCCTGCTCCTGGGCCACATCACGCATCAGCACCTCTCCTCTCCCTGCAGCCTTGTGTCTTGCCCTTTCGCCCATCTGTTTTCCCAATGCGTTTTGTTCAAGAGATTGACCAGTGCGACAGACTCCACATGGGTCCATCGATTGGCAGCATATCCACCTCCCTCCCGGTTCAACAGCTCTTCCCCTTCCCCCCGCCAGGCGCGCCAACTGGTGGAGCACGCACTCGCCCTACCACTACGTGCGCGTGGAGGAGCAGGCGGACCACGACGTGCTGGTGGTGGGCGGCGGCGACCACCCTGTGGGCATGCGTGCCACCCAGTACCAGGACGTGTGGGGCGACCTGGAGCGCTGGGCGCGGCCGCGCTGGCCCATGGCGCAAGAGACGCTCTTCCGGTGGAGCGGCGTGGTGGGTGGGGGGCATGGAGAGTGCAGTCATGGGGGGGTTGGATACGAAGCCTCTGGGGATGCTTGGCAACACGGCTCGTGCTGTTAGCTGTTTGTTTTCCCATGGCCGCCTGCTGCCCCGTGGCCCTGCCCATGGCATGGCAGGTGTATGAGCCTGTTGACTTGCTGGGGCTGTACGGGCGCAATCCCATGGACGCCACCCAGACGTACATCGCCACAGGTACGGGTGCTGTGCTGGCAGCTCTTACCTTGCACACATGCGCTATTACACGTACATAACCAACAGTCTGTTCACTTGCAGCTCTCGTCTTTCTTCCCCTCCGTATGCGCCCAGCTTTTGCCCTGTGCTGTGCCTCCTCTATCTCGATTGCCCTTTAACACCGCCCCTCATCCCCCGCCCCTGTACGCGAGCAGGGACAGCGGGCAGGGCATGACGGGCGGCACTATAGCCGCCATGGTCATATCCGATCTCATCTGCCGCGCCCGAATCCGTTCATCGAGATCTACTCGCCGTCCCGCCTGCCGCCCGTCTCCATGAAGTCCTTGTCGCTGGCTGGCTCCGTTGTGATCCACACCATTCAGGTAGCACCCCCCTCTGTCAGCACCACTCCAGGCAGGTTTTATTAGGAACTGTGGCGACGCCTGCGCTGTCATCACCTCTCGGTTATATGTAAAACTGTGCTCGCATTGAGTCTTTATTTATCTTCTTGTACTTGCACCACTCATAACGCCTCTGATTGACCCTGCTGCGTACCCCCCCCGGGCAGGGCTACAAGGACTGGCTGCCCCTGGTGGGCACGGACGGTGTGGCCATAGAGGACCTGGGGCGCGAGTGCGGCGCTGTGGTGAGCATGGGCTGCGCAAGGCGGCTGTGTTCCGAGACAAGGACGGACTCGTGCACGCGTATTCGGGTGAGACCTGGGGTGCACGTATGCACTGCCCGCCATGCATGCCGGACTGTGGATGTGACCGCCTTGCCACAATGCCCACTCTCTTCATCCGCTCACTACTCGTCCCTCCCTCCCCTCCGCTTCCCCCCCAGCCACATGTCCGCACCTGGGGTGCAGCGTGCACTGGAACCCCAACGACGCCACCTTTGACTGCCCGTGCCACGGCTCGCAGTTCGACCACCATGGCCGCTGCATCAACGGCCCCGCCAAGGCCGACCTCGCCCCGCTGGACCCCCGCCAGACTGGGTGAAGCGTGCAGCGTGAAGGCGTGTGTGCAAGGTGTGGGGCGGACTGCAGTTGAGCTAGGGGCGAAGGTTGAGGAAGAGGGCTTCAACACGGCTGGAATATGCCCGGCTCGTCATGCCCTCAACACTGCCAGCTCCTGCTGCTGGTTCTGCCGAGGGGGAGTGGAAAGTGCGAGCATATAAGGGGGGGGGGGGCAGGGGCTGGTTGACTGCCTCCACGAGGGTTAACTGTTGGAGCCCTGGGAAGATGATAGGGGTTGGAAGGGGACATGAGAACATGTAACCTTGCCTTGCATATTTCTTCCTTGGGCTGCCTACACTGCAATGTGCAGGAACAACTGATTTTGCGTAATGTTCCATGCCCTTATGCATCAAATCGAATAGCAAGCATGTACTTTGGAAGTGCACTATTCATCTCCATCCAAGGGACACATACCTAACTCAGATATCAAGCTGATTGTTCCAACTTCCAACTTCCAAGATCCTATTTACAATGCTAGAAGTTCACCTCCTTTGCAACAGAAAACAATAGACAGCATATTCATATTCTGCAAATTCACATCCACAAAACACCAGAGAATCAGCACAGCTGCTCATCACCGGGTGAACAGAAGGACGCGTGGGTCACAGCAGATCAAGCACAGTCAAGGGCGCGAGCGGGGTGAGGGCGGCAGTGTTGGGGCGACGGCACAGGGGTTGTCTGCCACTCCCCTCAGAATGATGCGCATGCGTACATGGCCCTGCCCCATCACTATATTCATGATCGAGGCCGCTGCGTTGGCCGTCAGCAGCAGCTGCCTGCCATGCAACAGCGCATTGGCAGAGAGAGGGGCGACAGGAAGTGAGGGGAGAGAGAAGAGAGCTGCAAGGGCTGAGAGCACCTCATATGCGCATCACAAACTTCCTCGGTGTCTCTTCCACCACCTCCCCGCCCTGCCCTCCCCCACGTGCAGTCCCTCTCCCTCCCATCCCCCCCCACCTGGCGGTGAAGACAGCGGTGGAGTTGATGACGAGGTCCACGCGCGACTGGTTGCCGGGGATCTGAGGGGGCACACGCACAGCACCGGACACAAGGGGGAGTGAGGTGCCGCATCACAGGGGAGTCACAGGGCCGATTCGGAGTGAGGGTGCTCATGTGTCCTCATCCTCTCACATGGTGCTCACCTGCCTCACAGTGCTCACCTGCCGCACCTCACAGTGCTCAGGTGCCCATTCCCCCCTCACACTGCTCACAGTGCTCAGCTGTCCATTCACAAAGCCAAACGACGCCAGGGGAGCCGACAGGTTAGAGGCGGCAAAGGGGCCGCCGCCAAAGTCCCTGCTGGGCGCGAAGAAGCCCTTCACCGAGCGCCACGTGGCGGTGGGCACGGTCCACACGGACTGGAAGGTGCCGTACGTCTGGTCCACGTCGAATGGTGGCACCTCCGAGGCTGGCGGGGGTGAGGTCGGGAGTCAGGAGTGGGAGGGGAAAGGGGGAGTGGCATGGGCAGTGCAAGGAGGTACGGAATGGGAGGGGCGGTGCTTGTGCTGGGGCTGAAGGGCGTCACTGGGGATGTGGAGAGCCGAGGGTTGTGCGAGAGAGGGTGGGTGGCAGCAGACGCAGGAAAGAGGGGGGAAGAACAGGGGGGAGGAGAGCGGACGGGGGGGGGAAGGAAACGGGGGGTCGGATAGTCGAGAGCAGGCATTGACGTAAGGTAGAGCGCAAAGGGACAAACAAGTGAAGGCACGGTAAGGGCAGGGCGGGCGGCTGACTGGAGAGGTTGAGCGTGGGGCCGGAAGCGGCGATAGCACCGGTGGCGTTGGCTTGAGCAATGATGGACGCCGGGGCGGGGCGGCCACCGGGGGTGATGCCCGTGATGGACGTGTTGCTGATGGCCGCCTGGGAGGGGAACCGGGGTGGGGGGATGTTGGGGGTTGGGGGGAGAAGGATGTGAGTGGAATATTGTGAGTCGACTGTAAGAAGAAAGTCTGCCTCCTTCTACTCGCCCCTCCTATACATGCTCCCCTCCTTCCCCCCTCCTCGCCCACCCACCACTTCGAAACGTCCCTTCCGCACACACCTTGGTGACATTGAAGGACGTTCGTATATCCGTGCACTCGACGACGTCCACCGTTATAGTGCCCGCAAGGGGGAAGCCGCCCGGGATAACGACAACCGACGCGAGCTGCCCTTCCTTCGGCGGAATCTCCGAGTCCCACGTCAAATTCGACCGTCTCGGGTCAATGCGGAACGTGATTGGCCCAGGCTGCGCGCTGACGTGGCACGCTAGCATCCAGTGAGCGAGCGCCACAGCAGCAAGAACTGACGCCCCGTGGCAGAGCAGACTCGTCTCTCGCGCCAACTTGAAGATCGCCATAGTAACGCCTCTGGATTCGCAACGGGCGCTCTGCTAATCACGTGAACCCGCGAGCGGCAAAAAGAGGAGGAGACGTGAGCGAGTGACAAGGAGAAGGCGGTGGTGATGGCTGCACGCACCCATCGACTGCGCTGCCGACTGACGGATTCGAAAGATGGCGGATATCAGCGGATAGGGAGGACGAGGGGCCGAGTCGAGCTCGAGGCTGCGAAACGGTACTAGCGGCGACGAGACCATGGGGCGTTGCGAGGTACATCCAGCCATGGTTGCTGCGGTCATGCACACGCAGCCGTCGCATCTCGCGCTGCTCGAATGGCTGGGCTGGGCTTGGGCTGTATGACACGTTATTCACGCAAGCTGGCGGGAAGGAATCGCGCCCATTCAATGTGGCGAGATGGGGAGGACATTTGATGGAAGGTTGGATAAAATCTACGGCGAATTCTTTGGCACTTAAGAAAAAAGTTGCGCGTCCTTTGTTTGTGGAGGAAAGCGAGTACGGCTTTGGCGAAACATAAATTTCGTGGCAACGAACTGGTTGCGCCATCGACTTGGCAGTCAGAGAGAGCATCCACGTCGTCCAAGCTGACCCCACGTGTCCACCCGCTTACCGAGGCGTGCAATAGCGCATTCCAATCGCCCTTCCCTCTGCATCTGCTTCCTCATCCTCGCCTTCCTCCCACCTTCAATTGCTTTTCTTCCCTCCACTGCCCCACACGCGACTTCGCTGTCCCAGCAGCTCTGTGATCTACCCAGTCTTGGCGACTTCTGGATCCTTCGTCGTGGTCGCGTATCGCTGTGCTCTCGTGCGCCATCTGCACATAGAGTTCATTTTCGACCTCTTTCATGGCCACCGCAACCTCTCTGCTCTCGGTTCCTCCATCCGCATCCTCGCTACTCGCCAGGAAGCGACTAAGCAAAAATCACAGTCTCCCCGTGGCTCTTCGATTACCGGGACACGGGGCAGCCGCTGGTAGGGTGAATACGGTGCGGACGGTGCTGCTGGGCGTGGTGGTGGCCTCCTCGTGGGCGCGGCCCGGCAGCGCGCAGGCGAGCGGCGGAGGCGGCGAGGAGGCGCCGATGGCGGTGGCGAAGAGCGAGGAGGAGTGGCGCGCCATCCTGTCGCCCGAGCAGTTCCGCATCCTGCGGATGAAGGGCACCGAGTGAGTGCGGGGAGGGGGAAAGGGGGGGAAAGGAGGGGAAGGAAGGGGCGAGGGAGGGAAGAGAGACGAGGGAGTTTGACACAACTAAATCCTGCAGTCTTTTGGACGAGGCACACGAGCACGGGAGATAGGACTGAGTCGGTAAACTGGAATAGCTCTAATCATACGTCACCATCAGCAGCCCCGAAATAGCCCGTTCTAAGAGCGAGGGCTCAGCGTGATGGATGGCCATGTGGCTTCCAGAGCTTTCACATGGTCCCTAGGTGCCGCCATGCGATCTTTTCTGGATCTAAGCAGAACCAAGCCTGCACCCTTCCCCTCCTGACATGTATCTGCCTCGCGCTACCAGGTACCCCGGCACTGGCCAGTACAACAAGCACTACGAAGAGGGGGTGTATGGCTGCGCTGGCTGCGGCACGCCTCTGTACAAGTCAACCACCAAATTCAACTCGGGCTGCGGCTGGCCGGCTTTCTTCGACGGGCTGCCCGGGGCAATTAAGAGAAACATCGACGCGGACGGGCGGCGTGTGGAGATTGTGTGTGCGGCGTGTGGGGGGCACCTGGGCCACGTGTTCAAAGGGGAGGGGTTCCCCACGCCCACGGATGAGAGGCACTGCGTGAACAGTGTGTCGCTCACGTTCACTCCAGCTGCAGATGCATGAATGAGTTGAGCGATCAGGGTACGCGATGCTGGTGAAAGGGGGGTCAGTGGGTGGGTGGGTGGGTGGGTGCTGACTCGTGTGGAATAGCGTGTGGTGCCGTGCCCTGAAGTGCAGAGTTCTGGTTACAAGTCGCATATGCTGCGGCACTAAGGGCTGATGATCATTGTGCACGATGTCCATAGAAGGCTTCATCCGGGTACCACTGCTGAGCTGAGCGCCCCTATATGAGTAGGCGAGCCCCTTTGTCTCTTTAGCCTTGCAGCACTCTCCATACTATAGAAGGATGTGGTGCAGTGAATCACAGCCATGCAAGGAGCGGCCCGCATCCCGGCGTTGGCATTTCTCATGTGAAGAAAGGAGGTTGCGGTATGAGATTTTGTACACCCTCGTGCCGTATATGTTGCTATAGGCTAGGCAGGTGCGTACTCTTAAAACATACAACCCCTTAGAACCATCCTGAATCTCACATTCTAGCTACAATTATACTCGGAGAAGGTATCACGCACGCGCTTTATTAGAGCCTCCCCACCTGTACCTAGCTGCCCGCAGTCCCGCGCCCGCTGGCCCCGCGATCGGCAGCCCCGCGCTCGCTGGCCCCACGCCTGCTGGCCCCGCGCCCGCCTGCACTGCGCTGCTGGCCCCGATTTCTCCCGCCTCGCGCCCGCTGGCCCTGCTTTCGCAAGCCCCACGCCCGCTGGCCCTGCTTTCGCAAGCCCTGTGCCCGCTGGCCCCGATTTCGCCAGCCCCGCGCCCGCTGGCCCTGCATTCGCCAGCCCCGCGCCTGCTGGCCCCACATTCACCAGCCCCTCGCCGCCGGCCCCGTGTCCCGCTGGCCCCGATTTCGCCCGCTCCCGCTGGCCCCACTTTCGCCAGCCCCTCGCCCGCTGGCCCGGATTGCGCCAGCCCCGCGCCCGTTGGCCCCTCATTCGCCAGCCCGGCGCTCACTGGCCTCGCCTTCGCCAGCCCCTCACCGCCGACCCCGTGTCCCGCTGGCCCCCGCGCCTTCTAGTCCCGCGCTTGCTGACCCTGCGCCCGTCAGCCCCGCGCCTACTGGCCCCGCGCCCGCCGGCCCCGCGCCTGCTGGCCCATGCCTGCCAGCCCTGCGCCTGCTGGCCTCGCGCCCGCCAGCCCCGCGCCTACTGCTCTCTTACCGGCCGCAGCTCCGCCGGTCCCAGCCTGCCCCAGCCCTTCCTATCGCCGAGCCGCGCTGACCCGCCGGCCTTGGCTCCACCTTTGAGCCGGCGCTCCTGCCGCCCGGCTCTACCGCTCTCCACCGCACTCTACCACTCTCCACCGCACTCCACCGCTCTCTACCTCAATCCACCGCAATCCACCGCTCCCCCCTGCTCTCCACCGCCCTCCTCCCCTTGTCAGCGGCAGTCAGCTGCTGCAGCCGTAGTGATGGCGGACTCTCTCCTCCGCCTGGACGCAGAGGGTCGGGCTGTTGAGTTTGAGGCATGGCTCGTCGACCTCCGTCGCCAGCTGACCGGCCAGCGCCAGGACGGCCACTCCCTGGTCGTCCATGTCGACAGTAAGCTCCCTCGCTCCGCCACGCCCGATGCCCGCCGCCACTTTGCACTACCCTTTACCCAATAGCCACACGTCTTCCTGACCGCCTAGCCACTGCCCGCGACCACTTTCTTAGTCAGCACCCAAGTGACCTCACCCTTACTGCCTTTGTCACCGCCCTGTTCGCGATAGAGACCCGCCAGCGCACTTTCACTCAGTCTAGTGGTACTGCAGCAGTCCCTATCTTCCAGGGTTGTGCTCCCTCCTAGTGCACTTACGCTGAATTTTTTGCCGCTGTCGCTGAGATAGCCCCTGCTGCTGAGACCGCCGTCGTGGCCTCAGCGCAGCAGCGTCAGGGTAAGGGCCGCCGCCCCAAGGGAGGGCGTGGCAGAGGGAAGGGTGGTGGAGGTGGGGGCAGAGACGGTGGTGCAGACAAGGGGACCGGGGCTCGTGCCCCGAAGCAGCAGCAGCAGCAGTCGCAGCCGCAGTAGCAGTCGCCGTGGGGACCCCCGCTGCCGTGGTGGCCTGGCAGCGCTGGTGGTGGTCGTCGTCTTGGTGGGGGCGCAGCTCGGTGTCAAGTGGCGGCTCCAGTGTGGTCACCTGCCATTACCACCTTCAGTCCGGCCCCCGTCGCGGCACCGTCTACGATCGTCCCAGGCACACCACCGACTGCTGCTACTGTTGCCTAGACGACCATTTCCATCTCCGCTTCGGCCCCGCGTCGGACCCTCTCCACTGGTACAGCCTAGTGCGTCGCCGTGTCCCTGTTTTTGAGATTAACATGGATCAGATTAGGTCTGCTCTGCATGCCATGTATGCTGATGACTCTAGTGTGAGTGGACCCTATTATCCGGTGTTGCCTAGTATAGGTGTGTCCCCTACTATGTCAGGCGTAGGACCACCTACCTTGTTTAGCCTCGGCTCCACCCTCGCTCCTCCGCCTGCGGCTGCCACCATCGCACTCTCGTTCGCGCTAGACTCTGGTGCGTCCGCCTGCTATTTTCGTGACCACACTGCGCTCACGCCGCTTGCTGCCCCTACCACTGTAGCGCTTGCTGACCCCTCGTCAGGTCCGGTAGTTGCCCATAAACTCCTCTACCCTTCCCTGTCCGGCCGTTCCCTCGGGCTCTCTTACAAGCCTGCACATCCCCTCGTACTCCAGGAACCTAGTTGGTGTCGGCTGTCTTCAGGACCTTGGCGTCACCACTACGTTTCCTAGACACGAGCGGTACGCAGTCTGTATCGAGGCCGCCACTAGTGCCCCTCTTACCACGTTACCCCGGGACCCCGTGTCTGGCCTATTCACCCTTGACACCGTATCCTCCCCGTTGGGAGCATCCCCCCAGGTCGTCGCGTCCTCCCAGGTTGCTGCAGCTTGCTCGTGTCGGTCGCTCACCCACCCGTCGCTGCTGTGGCAGCACCGCCTAGGTCACCTCGCACTCCCGCGTCTGCGTCACATGTCCCATCACGGTATTGTCTTTGGTCTCCCTACGTCGCTCCCTGCCCTACCTCCCTCACCTGCGCCGCCGTGCACGCTCTGCATCGAGGGCCGGCTACACCATGCCCCTCACTCTTCCTCACTTCCCCCTACGGCTGCGCCAATCCAGACCCTGCACCTGGATGTTTGGGGCCCAACCCCCGTCCTTGGGCCGCGTCGAGAGCGCTACTTTCTAGTGCTTGTCGACGACTACACGCGCTACACCACGGTCTTTCCCCTAGAGCGTAAGGCCGATGTGCCTGCCGTTCTTATCCCGTAGGTCGTAGCTACGAGAGTCCACCGCGGCCTCCCTATGCTGCGTCTTCACTCCGATCGTGGCGACGAGTTCGCCTTCGGTCGGTCTGGCCAGTTCTGTCGTGTGGAGGGCATCACCCAGTCGAACACCATGCTGGACTCCTCGCATCTGAATGGGATCGTTGAGCGACGCATCGGTTTGATCATGGAGGTGGCTCGTACCTCCATGATCCATGCCGGTGCACCCCATTTTCTATGGTCGTTCGCCGTTCTCTACGCCACTCACTAGCTTAACCTGTGGCCGCACTCCCAGTAGCCGCAGGTTTCACCGACCCTTCTCAGGACTGAGTTCCCAGGTGACGCTTCTGCGTTCCACGACTGAGGCTGCCTCACTCACGTTCGTGCCTCCGGCACAGACAAGCACACTGAATCCTTGGTTTCCCTCTCGACGCGTCTGACTGGCACTTCTACCACACGCCAACTCATCGTTTCTCACTCTCGTGACGTCACTTTTGACGAGTCTGTCTCCTTCTACACCCGCTTACCCCACCAAGGTCTCCCGGTTTCCTTGCCCCTGCTCCTGGTCCCCACTCCCCCGGTAGTCCCTGCTCCTCTTCCTCCCCGTCCTGCCCCGTCTGGTTTGTCTCACGTCACTCCCCTCCCGTCGGTTGTTCCGGTGGAGGAGTCAGCTGACTCCAGGGGCCCCGCGGCTTTGGCTTCCCCGCCTGTCTCCGACCCGGTGTCTCCTCCTCCTCCTCAGCCGTTGCCACAGCAGCCGCCGTCGCCGCCGCAGTAGCAGTCGCCGCCGTCACAGCTGCAGCAGTAGCCGCCGTCGCCGCAGCAGCCACCGCAGGGGTCCGCGAGCTCGGGGGGTGCGGGCGTTGAGGAGGGTGCTCGTCCTTGGGTTACTATCGTGGCTTGTTTTGGCGATCCTGGGGGTGGTACTGATGTTCGAGAGGGTTCTCATTATGGGGGTGTTGGTTCTAGAGGCGCTAGTCATGGGGGTACTGTCGTGGCTTGTCCCGGCGGTCCTGGGGGTGGCACCGTTGCTTGAGAGGGTTCTCCTTCTGGAGGTGCTGTAGTGGAGCGTCCCAGAGGTAGTCGTGGTGCAGTTGGAGGTTCTGGTGTCGGTGTAGAGCAGCAGCAACAATCGCCGCCGGTGTCCGCCCTTCGCCTCCTCGGTCTTCCCTCCTCTGACCACCCACCTGCGCCTCCCTCCCCTGTCTGCGGCCCTGTGTTTCCTCCGCCTGACTCGTCTTCGGCTTGTTTTCTCCCGCGTTCTCCTCCCATGTCTCATCCTGTGTCTCCTTACCCCACGCCTCTGTCCCACTTCTGGTCTCGCCGTCCCTTCTGTGCTCCTGTCTCTCCTGTACAGCGCTCTCATACTATGTTGCTTCGTTCCCACACGTCTCGTCCTCCCCTCCTCCTGTCGCCTCCTCCGTCGTCGGTAGCTATCGCTTCACCTCCCCTGTCTTACATCCTCCATGCTGCTACTCCTCTAATTCCTCGTGTCCTTGCCTCTCTTGTTACCGACCCGTCTGTTCCTGTCTCAAGTCTTTATGCACTTGTCGCTGCCGTCGCTGACTTTGCCTATACTCGCCACCTTAAATACGCCACCGCTCTGCTCTCTGGCCATGCCCGTCCTTCGTCCGTCGGGGGTGCTCCTGCCCTTGGCAATGACGTCCTGGAGGACCGGCAGTACGAGTTTGTTTTCCTGTCCGAGGTCGCGCCTCATCTCTGCTCCATGCTGCTAGTCCCTCAGGGTGACCCAGACATCTTTGACATCTCGACCCCTCGCACCTATGCTGAGGCCACCTCGGGACTCTGGGCCTCCCAGAGCATAGCTTCCATGGATGCGGACATGGCATGTTCGAGATCCACCAACACCTACGTCGACGGAATTCCCCCACTTGGGGTGAACGTAGTCGATCGCCGGTGGCTCTTCAAAGTGAAGCGCCATCCTAGAAAGCCGTCGGTGTTCAAGGCGCGCTATGTTCCTAAAGGCTTCAGTCAGCGCGATGGTGTTGACTTCTTTCAGACCTTCGCCTTGACCCCAAAGATTACTACTCTTCGAACGCTGCTACACGTAGCAGCACAGCATGACTACGAGCTGCACTCTCTCGACTACTCGACAACATTTTTTCAAGGTAGTTTGCACGAGCAGGTCTAAATGCGTCGCCTGCCAGGCTTCACCGGCACCTACGCCCCGGGGACCCAGTGGCTCCTCCGGCGCTT